CATGTCATTACGTTTCCTTCACATACATTTATGTAAGTGTTGACATTTTTAGGTACTTGTACTTTATACTTCTTCTACTCCACCTCTTTATACTTCTACTCCACTACGATTAAGGAACATATTGTACCTTTAAGTCTGTTTTGCAGATTCAGAAAAAGATAATACAAGATGAATTCATTAAACTAAGCTCCACCTTAACCGGCTGCAAAACTAGAAGTAATGCATTCAAAATGATAAATACATTACTAATTATAATCCAGTAATATTATATATACTGTATATTATTCAGTAATTGGACGTTGTGCCTTATGAATAATCTTACTTTAAGTATATTCTTGTGTACTCTTACTCAAGCAAGATTTTGAATGCATTTGTTATTGAGTATTCCTTCACTGTTGTATTTCTACTTTTACATTTACGTAAAATATACAATCCTCCCTTACCAAAAGTATTGAATAAGATTGCAGGCTAACTTATATTATATATATTCATTTATCAGTATAAAAGTAGGATAAAATGGAGAAATTCAAGTATGTAAAGTAAAACTACCTCAAACTTCAGTTCTTGAGTCAATGTAGTTGTTGTTTTTCTGATACTAAACAATGCAATGTCTATTTTCTTCCAGCGTATCAGGCAGTAACAGCACAGTTCTGCTTACTTAGGCTCCTGACTTCAGAATTAAACTTGTCATTTATAAGAGGAAGACATACTTCTTCTTTTAGAACTTGAATATTCTCACTCATCGCCTTTTCTGGGGAAAGTGTCTCATATTTGTTATTTATATTCTGTGTTTCAGGACTACACGCAGAACACCCATGGAAAGGAGATCGACCTCCTGCGGGTGACGGTTAAAGTTCCCGGTAAACGACCCCCGAGAGCGGTGGCTCCTGCGGCCCCCCCCCCGCCCGGCGCTGGACACGGGGTCAACGGGCTGAGCAAGGAGCCCACCGCCGCCGAGACCACGAGTACAGGTAGATATTGTGTATAATGTGTATACAGAGCTTTGTCGCTGAGGCCTGAGGGTCTGGGGTTTTCAATTTTAGTATTAGTCTGGTATTTTTCTTAAAGGTCACATGTCATGCTTTTCTGGTTATTACCCGTTCCCTTGTGTGTTATGAAGGTTTTTCTGCATGTAAACGGTCTGCAGAGTCAAAACCCCTCAAAGTACACCCTGTAGGGAGTAAAACTCTAACACAGAAAATACCTGTCTATGCTGCCCCAGAACGCCTCGTTGGAGATTTCTCTTTTTCCATTGTTTACTTCTTGGGTATAGTGACGTAACGTAACGTCCGCGAAGTCGTTACGTTTTGACCAATCCGCGGACTTCCTCACACACACTAACTCGGCGGTATGTTGCGAGGCTCGCTGCTGCGAGGAGCGGGACACTGTGAGCCGGCTCACTGGTGTGGGGTCGGCGAGACAGCGAGACTCCCAGCCAGGCTGCGGGTGTGTGTGTGTTCCGGGCTGGGTTTCGCTGTCTCGCAGACGGCCACTGGACTCACAGGGGGGGGGGGGGGGAGCTCATACAGAGATGCTGTATTAGAAACCAATGTGAGTTTGAAAAAATGCACAATATACATGTATTCTAGTAGACCTCAACAATGGAATTATGATCAGTAGAAATGGCCATGACATGGGACCTTTAAGTTATATTTTTGTCAATAATCCCACGAATGGACCAAAACCAAAAGGTGATAGTTCAGTTAAAAATGAACTGGCACTCCTTTAGAGAAAGATACTGCTTTTGTTAAATACTATTTTTCATTTTTAAACATAGAAAATAAACCATAAAAAATGTTGTTCTCTTTACAAGTTATCCATTTAACTGACTAATTTACATTAGAGTGAAATGTACTTATGAACAAAATGTGCTTATGCTAATCATATAGAGGCACTAGTAGCTAAGTTGAGACAAATTCACAAATATTCATTGTAGTAGTTTCAAGTGAAAGTTATAATGCTCCAATTTCCTGTAATGTAGTATACTGTATACAGTACAATCAAATACATATATTTCCCAGTATTTGTTGCATTACGTTGCGTCAAAAAGCTTTATCAAATAGGAACATTGTGTATAACATTATGGCATACTGTATTAAAGCTTTTCCTCTCTGTCTCTCAGTTCCTCAGTTTTGTCCGTCCACTCTGTCTGTGGTGGAGGATCGCTCTGGGGGTCTGTCGTCTAAAAGTGGAGACCGAGGACTTCAGCGCTGCTCCTCCTCACTATCCACCAAAGCACAGAGTGTTGGTACGTTTCACGGATAATTCAAACCTTTCACTCAGTTTCCTCAAGTAAAAAAAAAACACTTTAGCTCTCCTATGTCTGCATTTAATGCCGTTACACATACAGTATATGATTCATATTTGTTTACGTCAGACGCCATTGAAGGAGCAGCCAGTCCATTTGCTGGAAAAGACCCCGGACAGTCATCGCCCATGAGCGACAGGAAGAAGAACCGGAGGAAGAAGAGCATGAATCAGAAAGGAGACGCAGCCGTCGGGCAGGCGGAAGGTAAATGCTTAAAATGTGCCTGCTTTCAGTATTTTCCTTGTATAAATATACAAATATGAACAATCTATAGTGATATTACATTACGCTGTGTAAAGCACATATTTTCTATATAGTATGTCTATTTTATTTATATGTATACTGTAGGAAGTCTTTATATTTTAAACGCACACTTTATCTTTAATTTGATCAGCACCACGTCACTATTATTTATTTATATGTACAATTTTAGCAAGTTTTTATATTGTCCTGTTCCTGTAAGCCAGAACAACGACATTTAGTTTTAATAGTACACTCTGTGTCTTGTTGAAATGACAATAAAGTAAGTCTAAGTCTGATATAGGGAGTTTTTTAAACAATGAATAGAAAATGAATGCATTAATGTTATAGCGGCCAAAATCCTAAAAATATAAGAAAGAAATATAACGCAAACTGCCGCTGAGGCACCCGTCAGCGAATCTTACGCATGGGTAAAAATCAAGGTCCGAGCAAAAGTCGTTTCAGTGCAATTTATTTACACACACATCAAGAGTTCTTTCTTCCTTCTTACCCGATGGTAAAAAACCATAAGCCTACCGGGTGCGCCGCTCACTACCACCTGTTTCCCATATTTATAATGAGCAGGTCTCCCCTCCCCCGGTGCCCAAAGGCTGCCTTTACAAAAACAGAGTCATAGTCCAACTCAATTGATAAACTTAAATAAGAATTAAAAGGAAGATTTACTATAAACAGAGAAGAACAATAAAATAAAAAGATAACTATTAAATAATACAAGCTCCAAGATATGGCTTCATCAAATGTGTATTTTTTAGGCTTTTAATTCCTGCAACTGCTATTCTAAACAAACCGAGTACATTTTCTTTGATATATTCACAATATTTACATAATCCTAGGCAGTTTTCCTTTTCCTAAAGCCTCTATTCTCCTTCTCTGTGGTGAGGGTTTACAGTAGATTAGTGTTTGTCTTCCTCTGAATGTTTCTTAACAGCTTTTTCTTAACACTTGTACTTGCTTTTCTCTGTTTCTCTTCTGTTTTCCTTTCCCTGGGCTTATCTGTCGCTCCGCAGCCAAACGCAAAATGTGGAAATTAAAGAGCTTTGGTAGCTTGAGAAACATTAATAAGACAGGTAACACGTGACGGAGCTTGTGTTGTGATTTACATACAGTGACATTTCCCTTTCAGTGTCTGACATCCCCAGCTTCAGTTGTTCATTTGACTTTTTCTCCTCGTAACAACCCCTACATGTATCTGTTCTCCCCTTCCACCAAACTGCTTTTGTTTTGAATTTTCTGTTCTCCCTTCACCGACGGTGGATTCATATTAATCCATTGTAAATTACTCATCTTCTCACACATGCAAATCTTACTTGAGTGTGTTCTGCTTCCCATTAACTCGCAGATGAAGAGAACGCAGACTTCATCATCGTGTCGTTCACGGGGCAGACGTGGCACTTCGAGGCTCAGAGTCTGGAGGACCGAGACTCGTGGGTGTCGGCCATCGAGAGCCAGATCCTGGCCAGCCTGCAGTCCTGTGAGAGCGGCAGAAACAAGGTACACACGCTTTAAAAGCCCCCCAAAAAACGACTTCCTCAATCAGTGACGGGATCCTACATGAGCACACAGCTGTTTGGTTTCTGCCAGCACTGTTAATCACATCTAATACAGACAACACTTGCCAGGAAACAGAGTTTTGAGTCGCTAGCAGCATTTGGAATCTGAGCATTTTGCAGCAAAAATAAATATTGGTAGGCTGTGATTAGCAGATTAGTACATCTTGCCCCATCTTTTCCCCACTGAGTCCAACTGCAGGGTAATTAGGGAATGAGGAGTAGGTGAGTATTTGTGAGTCATGTGACTTGGACTAATAGGTCAATCTGAAGGGGCATCTGGTGGAACGGCATGTCCATATACTTCCTGGAAAATGAGCCTTGGATAAGTGGGAAGTGGGCTGAAAGGAGGGACGGAGAGTCTCCAAAATCAATACCATATGATGCAGTGTCACATTGCACACCCTACATGCCATTGTACCAACATTCACATAAGGGGTTTTAGAGTATCACAGTCATTTTAGTTTGTGATGCTGTATTCATTCTTAAAAACACTGATTAGTAATTAGAAGTTGACATTCATTGATACTTTGCAGACAGATGTGCATTGTGTGTTTTAATGTTGGATATCAAAGGGTACTATCGGTACAAAATGGGTACTAGACGAGGGCCGGACTGGTTCAATGTTTATTGCAAAACTTATTGAAATGAACTTATTGCACATATTAAACCTGGAACTAACAAAGCTTAAATTATTGCCTATAAAAACAACATTAAACATTAAATAATCAGTTGCATTCATTTCTTATGGCTCTATCTGCAGAGTCATTTCTTATGTTTACATTTTTCCACAGGCCAACAGCAGCTTCAAAAAAACAATTCCCCCCAAAGAAAAACCAAACATGCCCTGTTGTCTCAAGAAAGAAAGTGCAGAAGGAAACATCCATGTAAACTCAGTGTGCTGCTCTGTGATGCTAGTTCAAGCAGATACTTGGCATCTCATCTTGGGAGCAAGTTCATCAATGTTTGGGCTCAGGCTCTGAGCTGAGGAGACCATCAGGATTGAGTGAAGGTGTGCGTGCAATATACCGGCGGGCCAGATCTAATAGTAATTAAAAATTATCCTACGGGCCGAAATTAAATCCACAAAGGGCCTGATTTGGCCCCCGGGCCTTGAGTTTGACACATGTGGTCTAATGTATGCTCCTTATATGCCAAAGAACATTCCTTATACTGTATGTCTAAAAGTACTGTGATTCTGATAACACAGCCCTAGTTAACATAGAGCGCAAGATAGATTTAAACACTTTGTTCTTGTAATTTAAGTAATCGTGTGAAGAAATAAACGGTTGAATGTGTGTTTGTTTCTGTTTGTGCAGGCTCGGAGGAGCAGCCAGAGTGAAGCTGTCGCGCTGCAGGCCATCCGCAACGCAAAGGGCAACAGTCAGTGTGTCGACTGTGAGGCAGCCAGTGAGTTTCAAACGTTTAAACATTTTATCTCCCGCTGCAGATTTCCTCTGGAGGATAAATGTGTCTTTTATGTTCCCCATCCAGAGCCTGCAGTTGTGATTTCACAATGTTTACATTTGCTCTACTGTGGTGGCAGAAGTACTTTTTAAAATAAGCAATATATATGCAAACAAATCGTTTTAATGAGTCGAGGTAAAAATGCAAAAGTGTCGCTCATAGCATAGGCAATAAAATATACTTAATGTTTACAAAAAGTACTCACTATGAAAACCAGCCCATTTCAGAAAAATATATATTTTGTAACAGGGTTATAATTATTAATTTCTTCATCTCGTTAATATTTCAGCTGGTCTATTTAAATGTATTTATTCATATTTCTTTAAATGCAATTGTTTTTATTCTTCTGGTTAGTTTGGTAATTTCTCCTGAAGATCAATAAAGTGTTATTTATAATATTTGTTTGTTATGTTTGTGTTATTAATCTTAATTTGAAAAGTACATATTTTGTAGCTTTCAATTTAAATGTGTTGCAGTGCAAAGTATATTGTTTGCTTCTGAATTGTAGTGCAGTAGATGAATAAAGTAGCTGAAAATAGATCAAAGAAAAGTCAAATAGAAACACAGATCCTCATTTTTTTTAATGCTATTTTTTTTCTATTTGAGATGTTTACATTTTGGATTGTTTGTTTCCAGTCTTTTAATTTCTGTAATGTAAAATGCCATGTCTTTTTATGCTGCTGCAATGCCAACCATTTCCCAAATTGGGATCAATAAAGTACTTCTTATCTGATCTTATCTTAAAAAGTAGCTATATCGTTACAATTTAAAGTCCTTCCTTCACCACTGCATCTCATGTGTTAATCATTTTCTTACTCATTAATCTGTGTAAGTGAATGATCCTTTTTTTTAATAATTCCTCCGCCCTGCAGACCCCACCTGGGCCAGTCTGAACCTCGGCGCTCTGATCTGCATCGAGTGCTCGGGGGTCCACCGTAACCTCGGCACTCAGCTGTCCCGCGTGCGCTCCCTGGACCTGGACGACTGGCCCGGCGAGCTCACGCAGGTCCTGGCCGCCATCGGGAACCACATGGCCAACAACATCTGGGAGAGCTGCACCCAGGGCCGGGTCAAACCCACGCCCACTGCGACACGGTGGGTAACAAGAACACAGAATATTAGATGATTAATGCTTTTCAGACAGCAACAGGCTTCAAATCCACCAAAGTACACAGATCTAAGTCAAAGTCAACTTTATTCTTTATGTTTGTGTGTACAGACAGAGAGAGTTAGAAATACCGTTTCCCACAATCCCGAATACAAAAATACATACAAATATGTATAAAATATGTATACCTACAGTATATATACACAATCAACAGACACATTAAGCATATGCGCACATTAAGACAAGCACAACAATCAATATATACTAAATAACAGTCACTTCAATTGATCTAATAAATAAAAGTAGAAATAGTGTCACAATTAAAGTCCTGCATTCAAACACTTACTTAAAAGTACAAATTAAAATATTCAAAAGAATATATACTTGAAGTTCCAAAAGTACTCAATATGCCAAATTGCCTCCTTTTTCAGATGTATTTATATTATATTATTGAAATAAAGATGCATTTGTTGGCCTAAATCAATGGAATAAATGGGCTCAGTTATGGGAAGTGAAGAGTATCCATAAAATAAAGGATTTACAGCATAAAGATATTTAGTGTTATATCAGTAATTATTCACAATTAGTTTTGTTGCACTTCTTCAAAGTTTAATATCACTTTAGTTGATAGAAACACTTGGTCTCATATTTGCTTACAAACCACTTAGTTATTATCTTATAGTAGCTGAATTGGGGGTCTTTCTGTTGGGGCATTAAAGTACTTGTGGGATACTAAAAAATTGCAGTTATCAAATCGTAAAAAAGCATCAGTTTGTATAACTTGTTAGCTTACTGTCCTTTCGGAAGAAGAAGGACTATTCCTCAAATATCTACTTAAGATATGTGAGTCTGTATTTGCATTTGTGTTATCAGAATCAGAAACAGGTTTATTACCAGGTAGGTTGACACGTACGAGGAATTTGACTTGATGTCGTGGTCCATACATAAAAGTGAAACAAAAATAAAAAAACACAGATAGAGAACTAGATATTTAAAATAATAAAAA